AATTTTGAGTTTTAATTGCATTTCATATTATTATTATTTTATGCATTCACACCTTTGTTTCAATTTTCTCACCGGATGTAACTTCTTAAAAACCATATATATACGATTGTACAGCTTGATGATAAATTCGTTGAAAAGAGTCCCTTAGCTGAATCATTTGTTTTGATTTTCTATATGTTACAATGGGAATTTTCTATGATTTAAATAATAGTATTCACTAGCGTTAAGAAGAAAGTGGCCGTTGAACGTGTGTTTGTAATGATGGAGTAACGAAATATAACTTAGAACACGTAGGTCCTATACGTCCACGAATTGTATTGGCAGCATAGGCAATGTACACTACGAAAAGTATATAGTTTTTATCAAAAGTAGTCTATTATTCTTATGTTGCGCTTAACACCACTGGCCGGAAAAGAAATCACTAGGTAATAAAAAAAGGTAACTACATCACTCTTCTTGTGTTATCATTTCGTATCAGTAGGCTCTTACATGACGACATCAATCAAATATGCAGGAGAAAGTGGAGATGGATTGGACACTCGCTGAGGAGGCCGCTGGGTGACATCGCGCGTCAGGCCAGTGCTCGAGTGGAACCCGAAAGGGAAGCGGCGAGTGGAACGTCCAAGGGTGACATGGAGGAGATCGTGTGAAGAGGAACTGAGACAGTATGGATTAGCATGGACGCAGATGAAATGTACAGCAGAAGACAGAAGCAAGTGGAGACGTGCAGTTGAAGCCCTATGTTCCACTAGGAACCAAGGGAACTATAATAATAATAATGATAAATAATTAGATGGAATTTTGTCGTGCCTATGTCGCCTGTTTACAGTTTCCCAGAGGAAGCAATTACTGAAAAAACAGTAATAGTACCTACCCCATCATGCCCGAATTCAATCACGTGTAAATGTGACATTTTGAGCATATTGCGTCTTCTAAACTGGAATCACTTTTAACTCGAGAATCAATGATATCACAAATACTTCATCACTAAGAACACAATATTCAGCGAAGAGACTCTTTTCAACGAATTTATTATCAAGCTGTACAATCGTATATATATGGTTTTTTTATAAAAATTATATCCGGTGAGGGAATTAGATCAAAGGTGTGAATACATGAAATAATAATAATATGAAATGCAATTAAAGCACTTGTGATTATAATCATAGTTTAATGTCAAGTGGCAAAATAATTAATGTCATATATAGAATAATACATAAGGTGCATAGATTTTGGAAAGGGGTACATAATTATAGAATTAGTGGACGAATAAAAAAATGTTACATAATATGGTATGAAATTTGATAAGATAGAATTCAATATTGTAAAAATAAAAATATAAAAACTAATAATTTTGGGTTTAAAATGTCAAGTGGGTCAAGTGAAAAAAATTCAGAGTGAGAATAGTAATAATAATAATGATAATAATATTAATACTAATAATAATAGTAATAAGGGAAGAGTACATAGAATAACTAAATAAACAAAATAAATAAATGTCTATCCTTCTACGACCAAGGCAGAAGTAGGGATTGTACATATTTCTTTTGTACACAAAGGTCTGGCTTAAAGTCATGAATTGCCAAGGCCTCAGCTGTCTTTAGAAGTCTGTAACAAAGAAAACGCGGGAAGTTAGCATGGATTCTATATATGATCTTAAAATCATGGTCAGGGTTAACAGAGTGACAGAAGTCGATCAGGTGTTCCAAAATAGAGCGTCGCACACACTTCCTTTCTCCCTTGTCAAACCATGCTGGAATATGTTGAGAAAATATTGTGTTCTTAATGCTACAATGGGAATTATTAAATTACTTCATCATTCATAAACACACCGTCCGTTTTCATTTCATTAGAATGTCCAAATGTATTGAGTGATTGAGGGAGACCGTAATCTGGAAAATAAAAAGGACAAAATTTCAGTCAATAACAATATATTTATTCCTATCTATGTAGGATATACCAGTTTTACGGGCATGGGTAAGTATTATTTAAATTACATAAATTTGGTTTATGGTGAAATTACATGGTTGCTGTCTTTCGTTTGTGGGTCATCTAATATCATTCGATGGAGCACATCAAGAAATATAGAAGTATTGTCTTCGCATTAACAAAAAGAGACCAAGTATGTGTTGGATGGATTGCAAATACTTGGGACAAAAATAAAGCTTGAAGTCAATTCCTCCATATAACTTCGGTGTGTACAGCATCGAATCTTGCTCTTGATTTATATCCAAATTGGGTATTAATTTAAAATAAGTGATGTATTGGTGTAATCTGGTCAGTATTTTCATCGTCAGTAACACCAGAAATGGTATTGTCAGGTAGATTTGTTTTACTGCGTCCACGTGTGCCAAAACCGCTATTCGTCGCTGCATGGTTGATTAACACGTAGAGAGCTATTTGTAAACCATTTTAGATCATGGACACTGGTTGTTTGGGGTGTTATACAGCGTCCTGTTATGGTGACAGTGGTTATTCCAAGGATACTGAGGCTTTAGTAGACAAAACCTTGAGGGATGATATATAAGAAGGCGGCTTCAATTCCTGTTCAACTTCAGTCTTACTGTAGATCTGTGCAACTTCCACTACAAGGCAAATAGAAGAGAAGAGGCGAGCAGCAAAGTACCAGAGAGGAAAGAAAAAGTATGTGGACACGGATAGGGCCTTTAATGTTTGTACACATATGTTTATATTCGTTGTACATTTCCATTTAGCAAGCATATATATTTATTTCTACTCAGTCTGTTTATGCATCTACACGACTAGTCTATTTATCGTTATTAGAGTAATTAGGGGATTTATGTGCTTTTTTTAGGTACTGTAGTAAACTAATAATTGATTCGTTCTAGAAATAAGTAGTTTCTTGATGTAATCAGTAGAGTGAAACAGTCTGTGCAGAGAGCGTTTGAAACTTATAACCGAGGTGCAAGTTCTGACTTCTAGGGGTAGGCTGTTCCATATTTTATAATACATGACTGTGAAGAAGCTTTCGCAGAGTGTTGATTTGAAGGCTTTTATTTTCACTGTACAAGCATCAGAGACAACATCACTAGAGCTTCCGAGAGTCTTTAAGGCAGAGTTGTGGTTAGCACATGTCAAATCTGCTAT